ATATATATATATATATATATATATATATATATGGAGAAATATGATAAAATGGAAAATATCTACGTCATCGAGTCGCGCCACAATTAAACATTTTCCAAATACAAAATATTTATAATTTTAATTTTGAATAAATCAAAACATATTCAAAGTCTCCATCCTTGTTGCTGTTGTTACAACGTTTTTGTTGTTGTGTCGTCCGGACTTCTTGTGATAGAATTTTTACAATATTGTTCTTGATTTCTTGATATATAAAATATATATTGCTACACACACACACACACACACACACACACACACACACATATATATATATATATATATATATATATATATATATATATATATATATATATATATATATAACGCAGCGGTATGAGAACAGAAACATAAACAATAACAGAATTATTTTTTAATAAAAATCAAATGAAGGAAAATTATAAACAGGATGAAAGCAGAATTAAAAACATTATAAAAAAATGCACAACACCAGCTGACAATAACAAAAAAATTAGATTAATTATTTATTACAAAAATTTTAAAACCTCTAACCTTACAGTTAAAAATAATAAATCACCTCCTAAAACAAAATTAAATAGGGCAAATATTGTTTACGAATTTAAATGTCCATTAAGGAATTGTCTTCCTGATCAATCAAAATTCGTAAATAATTATATAGGCCACACTACAACATGTTTAACACGAAGACTCGCTCTACACCATTCTGACCATAGCTCAATTAGATCTCATTTAAATATTCATAGAGACCTACCGGACACTATTCGTAACATACTTGTTGACAACACTAATATAATAGCATCATCTACATGCCAAAAAAAGGCTAAAAATAATGGAAGCCTTATTAATAAAAACAAAAAACCAACACTTAATAATATTAACTTTGAACATGGACACAACATCTTGACCGTGTTTTGAAAAATGAAAACATTTTATAAAACATGCATACAACAAACTATTTCTTATTTAACAGTTAAAATATTTAATCCTTGAAAATGGTTAAATGCATAGCCGAAAGCGCTCGGACAGTTTTTATATAATTTATCATCCGAAACGAAAAAAATTATTAGATCGCATGAGAAATTGTAAAAAAAACCAAATAAAAGCACCTTGTCTGTTGTATTCAATGAAACATGCATGAAAGAAGGGTTGCTGCCTAAATACACACACACACATATATATATATATATATATATATATATATATATGCGATGCCTCCATTACCATAATACGATTTTATAATCTCAATAATATTTCACCACTAACACAGTAATTTTTCAGTTTTCATAATAGATTCACTTTATAAATTAATGTGTCTTCATTAATTTCCTTATTGTTTATTACAAGTCATTTTATTAGTATTAGAGTATATAACCTTCTGTTCAACATATTTTCTACCCTAAAACCTGTTTCTTACAGGCAGGATGCGCTGAGTCTCTCAGTTCTATCGAGTAATATATATATATATATATATATATATATATATATATATATATATATATATATATATATCCCTTATTAGAGAAGAATTATTTTAGTCTAGAGGCAACTGTAATCTCCCACCCCCCATCCATATAAACTACTCCTTAACGTAAGCCCCCGAACCTGAGTTGCCTCCGGCCTTGTACAGGGTTAACCTTACTGTAATATATATATATATATATATTTATATATATATATATATATATATATATATATATATATTAAGTATGTGATGCAGTTCAATTTACATTACATGAATCATTCATACAAAAAAACAGATATAGAAGTTAATGATATAAATGGCGAGAATACATCCTCGCAAACAAATTTAATGAATTACATTAACACCGAACCTGTAATAATAACTGTGACATTCCTGTATTTATTGAACAATATAGTTCATGCCACCTTGACTGAAAAACCTACCAGTACAAAAGAATTATCCTATTACCATATTAGTACAAAAACGCACAATCTTAAAATTTAAAAATTCATCCTCAGCGTTGCGACCGCACGTTCCAAAATTTCTTACAATTAACAATAACTTATTTCTAAAAACATATTTCGGATTACATCTATTCTTTCGTTGTCCTGTTATTACCGAGATGTAAAATACAAATCTATTTCCATACCTGATGATGGCTGTATGCACAGATGAAATCTTGTAAAAAATAAAAAAAGACCTCATGCAACTGGAATTTATAAACAGGGATCATAACATTCATCTACAGGTTCGGGGTTAATGTAATTCATTAAATTTGTTTGCGAAGATGGATTCCCGCCATTTATATCATTAACTATCTATATATAACGTTTGCCAAAATTTAATTTCTATATATATAAGATAACGATATATATTGTTTATATATCAAAAACAATATTAGGGAAATTGTATGACAGAGTGGAAAACGTTTACTTCAGGACTTCATCAGAGTAAACTTGTTATGTTGGTATGACTGCGCATGCACACGAACGAGGGCTGCTGGGGGATTTAGAATTTTTTTTAGAATTTAAAATATTTTTTTTTTTAGAATTAAATAAAAAGATAATATTTAACAAAATTAATTTATAATCTTTCTTTTTTTCTTACCGTCTCCTTTTGGCATCTTACACTGTGATAATAGATCTGCCTATTAACTAAAGTCAATCGGCTGTTCATAGCTAGCTAGCTAGATAGATAGATATAAACAGACCGTTATAGAAAGGTATATATATAGAGAGAGAATATGATATATATATATAGAGAGAGAGAATATGATACATATATGTATATACATACATGAGGCTGATAGATAGATAGATAGATAGATAGATAGATAGATAAAAACCGACTGTGATAGAAAGATAAATACAGGGTGTGATCGGTAAATTGTCATCATTTTATATTTTTAATTTCGCGCATGCGCTTTGTTTCTTTTTGATTTTGTCGACTGCCCAGTACACTAAGATCGCTTGGGCACTGTCTGTGAGAAAAGGAACACCATAACGCGATTCACCCGCCAGACATTTAGAAACGGCCTGCTGTACTGCTTGGCATTCACGCCGGAGGCTCCAATCCGAACACTTCGGAGTGTTTAGATGTCAGTCTAGGAACATTGCAGAGGATTCGCAAAGAATTGGATAATTTATCCATTCAACATCATGGGGCTTGGTGCGAACACTAGTGATGGTGACATTATGATTTCATTCATCCTCCCACAGGGCCTCAATCAACACGGAGGCCTACATCAAGTACCTTGAAGAGACAGTGCTTCTCGGGGTCAAGAAGTTGGCTAGTGGAAGACCCTATGTCTGGCAACATGACTCTGCCTCAATACAAGCAGAATAACCCAGTCAAGGCTGCCAGACAATTTCTACAACCATATCATCCCTTACATCTGGCCACCTAACTTCCCAGACTGCAAGCGCCTTAATTATTATGTGTGCGGCGCAGTTGAGCGAGAGACGAACAAAACATTTCTTAACACCAAAGATGAACTGAAGTCAAGGATTATGGCAGTATTCATTACCTTAAACAAGGACAGCGTCCTGAAGACTTGCAGGAGATTCCGAAGTTGCCTGGAGGCCGTAGTTGAAGCTAATGACGACTTTTCTGAATAAATTTACTCTTTCGGATTTCAAGATATTTTTGTGTAATTTTGGTAAATATATCTATTAAAATGAGATATCAGTGTTATTTTCATTTGCCTAATTTCGACGACAATTTATCCATTGCATTATATATATATATATATATATATATATATATATATATATATTAAAGACATTTTTATGCTTAACGTTCTTTTTTATAGATACAAGTATTTAAGTAAATGCTCTGTTTATAATAAACAGTATTAAATAACATTTACCGGCCTGAATGTCCGAGAAATTTTCATATAAATTGTCGGACTTTGTCCATTTCTTAATATATATATATATATATATATATATATATATATATATATATATATCCGAATACAAGGTTGTTATAGATGGAATAAAATTTCAGGAACTAAAATCGCTATTTTTTAAAAAAATTATTCAATACAAAGTAGAGCGAATATTATTTGATTAAAAATTATAGCATAAGCATGTTATAACATTATTACAAAAAATAGCCATTTTGTTTAAAAAATTCTGGCGTCTTGTTGAGTGATGGTGATTTTCTAAGTAAGGCTTAGATGTGGCATAAGGCCTAAAGTATTGGGCATCCAGTAAGGATTGAACTCACTACCCAGTTATAATGATTCTATCGAGACAAATTTGCTAACCATTACAACACGTCGAGATGCCAAGCGATGGCTTTTCAACACTATCACTTGGCAGGACACCAGAAGTGTTGAAACAAAATGGCTATTTTTGTAGAGATGTTATAACATATTTATGTAGGGCAACACGAGGTGTTGTAACAGTTAGAAAGCTTATCTCGCTAGAACAATTACAACGGAGTAGTGAGTTCGAACCTCACTGGGTTGCCCCTATTTTCGTTCTTGTTTCACATCTAAGCTACTCTTTGAGAATCACTATAACATACTTATGTTATAAATATATATATATATATATATATATATATATATATATATATATATATATATATATATATATATATATAGAGAGAGAGAGAGAGAGAGAGAGTCTATAATAGAAAGAGATCTAATAGAGAGTGCCTGATATATACAGGTGTTTGTGTAAGTAAGTATAAAGTTCGTATTATACCAGTATTATAATTGTGCTTCTAGAAATCATTAAAATGATTTCTATGATAGTACATTTATTATAATTTTATTTTTTAATAAATAATAATAATAAATATTTTTTCAGGTGAGTGTGTGAATGACAAGAGCAAACAGTTTGAGAGATTGATATGTGTATCATAGATATATTTGTATAATCAGTACAATACGTTTTGTAAGAATGATTTGCTTAACTTGTCCTAAATCTTTTTATTCTGAATATCTGATGGAGCACTTTTTTTAATATAGCCGTTCTTTTGGTGAATAGCACTTTTACTAAAAATTGAATTTATGAATTTTTATATATATATATATATATATATATAAGGAGAGAGAAAGAGAGAGAGATCCTGATTGAAGTGAAGCAGTCGGATGTCTAGCCACACTGATGAGTTGTGATACAGCGAAACATTTTGTCTGAGGATGACAATATATATATATATATATATATATATATATATATATATATATATATAATCATCCATTCGCAGACAGTACACTTTTCGCTATCACAGCCCATCAGTTAGATAGACATCCAAATGCCTCAAACCAGGATTGAGACCCAAATATATATATATATATATATATATATCTTAGAAAATAATATCATATAAACCTTAATAACTAATATATATATATAAATATAAATATATATTACCATCTAATATCATATATATAACTATTATCATATATATATATATATATATATATATATATATATATATATATATATATATATATATATCTTAGCAAATAATATTATATATATCTTAGGAACTAACATCAATTAATATCAAGATTGTATGTGCATATAATCTCAGTAAATTTCGAAATAATTTATTCCAAAATCCCTTGAAAATGAAACAGTGCTAGGGAATTTTAATTTGATTCTATAATTAAATTTAATGCTTTAGCTTCTATTTTTGAAACATGGTAATTCCCAGAATTGATGGGAACATATTTTTAAATTAGTAAATTTATAATATATATATATATATATATATATATATATATATAGAGAGAGAGAGAGAGAGAGAGAAACAGGGGGACAGAGAGAGAGATGAGAAGAGAGTGAGTCAGAAGAGAATAGACAGATTACTGTCCCTTTCAACCTTTCAACCTAAATCACTGTCCCCTTTTTACAGGTAATTCTCAGTACTTTTTTGTTAATTGCGAGCTTCGTGGTTGCATATGTGAGTGTCCTTCCCCACCGCCATCTTTTTTTTCTTTGTCTGGGGGAGAGGGGGATATATCTACATGTTTCGCTGTTGGTGTATTTATGTTTCCATAAGCTGGTCCAAGTCGTGACCTTTCGTCCCGAAATGGATTTTATTTCTTCGCTTATACCTTCTCTCCTGGAAATGGCGAAGCCGACTCAAATACAAGAAGCGGCGATGGGGGAGGGGGGTAGAACGAAGAGAAAAGAGACATACAGAGAGAGAGAGAGAGAGAGAGAAAGAAAGAAAGAAAGAAAGAGAAAAAGAAAGAGAGTGTAAGAAACAGTAAGTGAGGGGAAACAGGTACAGTGAGATACTGAAGTTGAGGGTTGGAATGGGTATAAGGAACACTCGCTGCTACAATTAGCACAACTTAGACGAAAGAAAACTAATTTCTACACCGACGAATCGAGGAAACCCGACCTGATCGAACATTGATTAAACTTAGGCCATACCTGACAATTTCCTTCTTTCTTTCTTTGTTTTTTTCTTTCTTTCTTTTAATCCTTATTCCAAAACGAAGCTTATTTGGATGATCTGACGTGATATTGGTCGGCCAGTCAGATGGTGAGAATGGAAGGATAGTTAGTTACCTGGGTGGTTGAGTGGTAACACCCAGTCACGATAAAAGGGTGCCTTCTGCCACAGGCTAGTTCTCCTGTCTACTTACCTGGACACCGGCACCCACCTGGCCAAACCTCCCCTATCTTCAGTTGCAAAGTAAGAGTCGCGGTGATTGGCAGGTTTTAGAGGCATAGGGACGCCAAGGTGTGTTCGATGTACGAAAAGAGAATCTTAGGACATTGTTTGCTTTCTTACCTTTTGTTTACACAGAGGGGAACCCGTTGAAGTTGGTAATATAAAGAGGATGGGAGACGTCATTAAAGAATGAAGCATATATGTATACCTTAAGATCCTCTTGATACGTACATTCATGTGTATATATGAATATATGTACCCATCAATTTGTCATTCTCTACACAGATCTCTCCCTCTCTCACTCTCACTCACTCACTCTCTCTCTCTATACATATATATATATACATACATACATATATATATATATATATATATATATATATATATATATATATATGTCAATTTATCTATCGCTGTCTATAAATGCCGAGTTTGTTGGTTGAGATGGCAGTGGGTGTTTACCAACTGCGTTCGTGTTTGGTGTTCGAGCCGAGATAAAACAACAGAATTTTGAATGTTGATTTTCATAGCTTCTAACTTCTGTGGAGAAGACTGGGGCAAAACGAATACAGAGTGTCACTGATTAGGCTAAAAACCTGTCTATCTCAGTTTGTTCATATCCATCTCAATGTTTCATCTATCTATCTATTTATTTATCTATCTATCTGTTCATATCTATCCATCTAATTATCTCATCTATCTATCTAGAAGTGTGTTCATATCTATCTATCTATCTATCTATCTATCTATCTATCTATCTATCTATCTATCAAGGAGTCTGGTCACTATCTATCTATCTATCTATCAATCTATCTATCTATCTATCTATCTATGAGTCTGTTCCCATCTATCTATCTATCTATCTATCTATCTATCTATCTATCAAGGAGTCTGGTCACATCTATCTATCTATCTATCTATCTATCTATCTATCTATCTATCTATCTATCTATGAGTCTGTTCATATCTAATCTATCTGTTCATATCCATCCATCTAAATGTTTCGTCTATCTATGTAGAAGTCTGGTCATATCTATCTATCTATCTATCTATCTATCTATCTATCTATCTATCTATCTATCTATCTATCTATGAGTCTGTTCCCATCTATCTATCTATCTATCTATCTATCTATCTATCTATCTATCTATCTATCTATCTATCTATCTATCTATCAAGGAGTCTGGTCACATCTATCTATCTATCTATCTATCTGCCTATCTATCTATGAGTCTGTTCCCATCTATCTATCTATCTATGTATTTTCCTCTCTTTCTCTCTCTCTCTCTCTCTCTATATATATATATATATATATATATATATATATATATATATGTTCATATCTATCCATCTAATTATCTCATCTATCTATCTAGAAGTGTGTTCATATCTATCTATCTATCTATCTATCTATCTATCTATCTATCTATCTATCTATCTATCTATCAAGGAGTCTGGTCATATCTATCCATATATCAAGATATGTACATGGGGATTGAAAGTAACTCCCCATTTTGAAATACGCTATTTATTAACTATAATTTTTACAATAAATGGATATGCAAGGAAAGCGTTTAGCATGAGGTTTTATTTAAAATTCGATATGGTTACCAGATTTCGCTACCAGGTTCTCGAGCCGCCCAGGAATCGCGTCAACTGATTTCATCAGGAACTCTTTTGGCATGGAAGACATAACTTCTTGTATTCGTCCTTCAAGTTCTTCCAAAGTCTTAGTTTGGTGCAGTAGACTTGTTATAGTAATTTTCCCAGGCACGCATGGATCCCCCCCATCTATAAATAGGAGCAGGTTTGCCTTTTCAAGAGGGAAGTTTTCTTGATGTCACCGATCCCAGTGTGCGGCACCTTTGGGAGTTGCCTGAAAACCATACCAAGCGTTCATTCAAGGGTTATGGGTAGACGAAACGCTTGCCCTAGCACGAAGTCACAAGTCATAGTGACCGAGAGTGGTGGCCTTATTCACATTTTTGACTACGATAAATAACTCGCTCTCTATCAGAAACTGCAACTAAGGTCCGCTCAGCATAGTTGCAGTATAAATCACCGGTGGGTTCTGTGTGTGTTGAACAAATGCAAATGTCTCTGTGCATGAGTCTGCAACGTGGATTAGTTAGCCGCCACATTAGACGAGCATGCTTGGATACGAGGGCCCAGCTACTATAATTATCAATGATATATATATATATATATATATATATATATATATATATATATATATATATATATATATATATATATATTGATTTTCCAAGCGTAGCTTATTTGTGGCACAAGGCCTTATATATATATATATATATATATATATATATATATATATATATATATATATATATATAATACATAAATGGTTAATGGTCAGAGTTGAATCAGACCGGGGAACAGTAGTGTTAAAAAGTGCTCAATACACGTGTGACAAAATAAAACAAATGTAAAAATAACATGTAGAGCTTTTAACTTTAAAAATCAGAGATCAGCTGATATATATATATATATATATATATATATATATATATATATATATATATATATATATATATATATGTAACTTTAAAATCAGGAGATCAGTTGATATATATATATATATATATATAACTTTTAAAAATCAGGAGATCAGTTGATATATATATATATATATATATATATATATATATATATATATATATATATATATATATTTTTTAAAAATCAGGAGATCAGTTGAATCCGCTACCTCGGTTTCAACCTTAAGGTATCCTCAGGAGATTTTATAAGAAAAAAAATAATAAAAATTATTGATAAAAATCGCCTGATCACCGTAATATTTAAACCAATTTAGCGGATTTAAATGACCATCAGATTTTTAAACTATATATATATATATATATATATATATATATATATATATATATATATATATATATATATATATATAGCCTCAAGCGATTTTTATCTATTGACCTCCCAACGCTTTATTTTAGAAAATAAAGAAAGAAACGCATGACGTTGGGTGTGATAGAAAGGGAGGAGGTGGATGGGAAGAAGAAGAAGAAGAAGAAGAAGAAGAAGAAGAAGAAGAAGAAGAAGAAAAAAGTGGAAGAGAAGAAAAGAAAGGCTATTATAAATATATTTATAATATGCTTATAATACTCTTGCTTTTCGTCTCTCTATATATATATTATATGTGATGTACACTGTTATATGCCGCTTCAGCCCGGCGTTAGTCCTGCAAAAGGCAGAGAGAGAGAGAGAGAGATAATGTGGAATTGGCTTCCCAAGTTCAAATTCCGGCCTAGTCTCTTACTTTCATTTTCACAATAATAATATGGGGGATGGTACGTATTCATTTTTTTTCTCCCCAGTTGTAGGATCCATAGAATGGTAAATTTGCTCGTCTCAACGTGGTTGGCAGCCAGTCTCGAAGAAAAGATTTTTGAATTCCAAAACTGTAGATAAGGCTATGGGAAACTACTCCATTGTCTTTCGAGAGCTATCATGTGAATTATATATTAAAAAAAAAAGAAAAAAGAAAAAAAAAAGAAAAAAGAAAAAAGGAAAAAAAGGAGAAAAAAAAGAAAAAAGAAAAAAAGAAAACTCTATTTCCTCTTGCGGCAGATTGTGAACTCAAGTGTTATTAAGTATTTCAGTTATTGTGTTTTTCTTGTTGTTTTTTTTTGCGGGGGGCAGTCGGAACCCCCCCTCAACTACGAGTGATCAGGATGTTTTTTTATCAAGTTACCATCATTTTACATATTGCCAACTAAGGTTAACAATATTCTCTCTGCTTATTAAGTGCTTAGAAGTGGCTTCGGGCTAACACATCCATCGATGGCTTCTGAACAGTATCAATTGCCCAATCTCTGTCAAAATGCTTTGACTAACCCTTGGTATGGTTTCCACACACTCCGCACACTAATATCGTCTCCCCAGGACGATATCATGAAGTAGTCACTTCTTTGACTAATCGAAACCGGGTCTCAAGCTCAGAAATCCAACGCACTAACCATTTGGCCCTCGTGTTACAGCATTTTGGTGTTCTGGACAACCTTCAAATGCTAGACGACGCTTCACAGATACCTCTCCCGAGTAAGACCCTCTATAGAGGAGAACATGACTAAAGACTGTGTGTACGCCATCCCGTGCAGCTGCGGAAAGAAATATAAAGGGGAAACATGCCGCCCCCTTAAGGTAAGGCTTCAAGAACACGAAAAGAAGGGAAGTGGAAAATCAGGCGTGGCTGACCACATATGGAGAGAAAAGGGAGAATCCCCGCCCTCTGTGGGATCAAGTTGAAATCATAGACAAAGAACATCATTGGAAAATTCGTAAACTTAAGGAATCAGAACATATGCTATGCCACAAAAATCTCCCGAACCGACCAAGCATAAAAAAGAATACAATATGGGAACCAGTATTAAGGAATGCCAGAGAAAAGCAATAATAACAACGAAAATTTCAATATGAGCTCTGGTAAAAAAAATCAGACAATGATAACAGCAAAAATTGCAATATGAGCAATGGAAAAAAGTGATTGCTAGAGATATTAAGTTTATAAGTACCAGAAATTCATACACAGATGTCCTCAAGGACACATGGCACAGTGGATAAAGACGTTGGTTAACAGGCCCCAAAGTGTTGTGAGTTCAATACCTGGTTAAAGCAATGGAGAACTTGGAGAGGTGAATTAACAGGAGATAATTGACATCCATTAGACATAACCCGTGGAACTAGAACAGTCTACCCCAGCGGCATTCAGTTCGACATTCCAACCACCTGAAGACGGCCGGAGCCTACAAGGGTTGTGCGAAATATGGCGACAAAGATTCGGACAATAGTCCGAATAATGTAAATAGTGTACATAATACCTCATCTCAGAAATATAGACAGATATCTCCTTCATACTTTACCTTTTGTGACGAGAATAATGATATTTCTGAAATTTACTTATTACCATTGGGAAAACTGACGAATGTCAACATTCTCTTTCACGGAAAGTAAGAATAAAATGACATATGATTAAAAAAATGACATATGATTAAAAAAAAATGACATATGATCAAAAA